TATCCAATGAATTTGTTGCCAACGTTTATGCAAAGAATGGATTCCTCTTTCGAAGAACTCGGCCGGCTGCGACTCAAAGTAGTTGGACACCCAGAGTTGGACTTCTTCGCGGTTTGTGAACTTTCTCTCGGCCAGGGAGTGCTGCATCGACCGGAACAGATGGTAATCGGATGGTGCCAGGTCTGGGCTGTATGGCGGATGAGGCAGGACTTCCCAGCCCAATTCCTCAATTTTTTCCAAAGTGATTTTTCGCGACATGTGGACGAGCGTTGTCGTGGAGGAGTTTTGTCGACGTCGTTTCGACACCTTGACGACGCAGTGCTTGCATCCACGCGGTTCAACTGATTCTTTTGTAGATGTCCGCCGTAACTGTTTGACCCGAATCCAGTACTTCAAAGTACACCAAACCTTTGCTGTTCCACCAAACACAGAGCATCACCTTTTTGCCGTGTATATCCGGTTTCGGAGTCGGTTTTGGAGTGTCACCGGCGTCTAACCACTGTCTTTTTCGCGTTGCGTTGTCGTAGCAGATCCATGTCTCATCTGATGTAACAATAGAGTCGAAGAAACCGCTGTTCTTGGAGCGACGAAGAAGAATTCCGGCCATTGCCACTCGTGTTGCGCTCAGGCTGGTGGCGGCCACCCATTTTCCGCACTTTTTTCTTAAAAGAACAAAGTAGACATAGACAAAAATATATCAAAAGATGCACAATAAAAATCTCTTTCTAATAGACAAAACTGTTTTAAAAAATCTTCTATAGTAGGAGAGAAATAAATGGACAAATTCAACGCGCATTTCTTTCCGAACAACTAATATATCAATGAAGGGCTGGTGTTTTTATCATAATCTAAGTGTTTTTCTATGGCTTAGACCATAGCGCACAAAATCCGTGAGACCAGCTCAAAGGCAGTTGGCACGATGATTTGGTGCTCGGCCTAAAATGCTAGTAGGGCGCTATATAGTGGGGAAATGGCGAAAGAACGGAGTGAAACGGTCAAAATCCTGCGAAGAAAGAGCCTCCGTTTCTCAATGTGTTCAAAATCAATTTTGGACGAGTTTCCCGTAGGCATCTTGCCAATAACCGCTACCGAAGGTACGGCTGCATATGTGTACTCATATATCCATGCAGCATCACGGCCGCTTCATAATTTGCTTAGCAAATGAATCGATTAGAGCGTCAGGAACGGTCGTCCATTTGTGGGCGGGCGGGCGTGGCGGGCGTTTGGGTCGGTATGTTGTGGCTTGATAGGGCCCTTATAAGGGCACCTTTCCTTGGAAAAGGCATTATGCAGCGCCTGCTCAGGGTTGCGGAATTCTATCCTGCCAGGCGTATTAATAATACTCGTCTTGGGGGTTTATCGTGCCTAACTGCCTTTAATGAAAGCTCGCAGACACGTTCAAAACGAGGTGTCCTTACCTTTTGAGATGATCCCTGCCGTGGCCGAGGCAAATGAGTCCGCAGCTGCAGCATCATCTCCGCTAGTACCTTCTCCGCTCAAGAGTGCACTTTAGCGGGGCTAAAGGGTGGTGATAGCCACATGCCTCTTTGGACTGCACGCACCGCCTAACCAGCTGGCGCAGCACTCCGTACGACGAGGCCCACGTGTAACTATAGTCATGAGCGCTACTCGTCTCGATCTCTACTGTTTGGTTGTTCTCTACACTTGGACGCGGTAGGCATTTTCCGATCATGCTGCTCGCGGTGGGCCCTCGGCATCGACCTCATACCGGCAGGTCCTACATACTTGGTGGAGCTCGGAGCAGCACTGAGCTATCACTACACTCCAGCCCCATTTCCGTGCATTTTCGAGCGAAGGAAGTGGCTTGCTACAACAGCTGTTGACCCATTCACTCCACACACGACAAGGACAGGGGCCTACGGAGGTGTACAGTTTGTCCATCAATGAAAATGTGGGCGTACGTTTTGCCCTCAACCATTAACTTAGGATTCGCTCGGAAGCGAGGACTTATTGCGATAAGAATCACAAGCCTTTCATGTAGCTTGATTAACTCGGCTTTCAATTTGCGTTTTTTTAAGGAGATTTCAAAGTTGTGCTGTGAAGACGAACGAGCTAACACGAAAGGAAGGCGTGTAACTCTGTTCATCGAGAACGCTGTGGTACATTGGTCAAGTCTTGTTTGCATCAGAAGCTTCGATCAGATAGCCATGACCAACCGATCAATACAGAGGATACCTGGATATAGCTGGATAGACTTACCCCATAGGTTTACTTATTTCACTTCTGTGTTCACAGGTGTAACGTAGAGACAGTAGCTCATTTTACGGAGTTTGCACCACGTTTGCCCAAACCGTGTCTGTGATTGGTGGTTTTGTCGCCATCACCAATCGCAGACCTTCACAGCACATTTCATGTTCCGATCCATGCAATCGCAAGGCGCATTTCGGGTGACTACTACTATAACCAATATTGCGCTACCTAAATGAAACGATTCCCAAAATAAAACTGTTACAAACGAGCCCATCATATGAGCTCATAAATCGACCCCATCTGGATGCACATCTGGACCAAAATCTTTTCATGATCTTACTTCTGATGTCGTTTTGATCCTTGATATCGTTAAATATTCCCTTCTCATGTGTTGTAGCCATTTGTGGCATTTTAATACTATGGAAATACATACGATCTCGATCACGTGTCACCCTCAATCGCACATTAATACTTGTATAATTATGTTGTTATTGATGCATAATAAATGGTAATTGATTCTTTGAGAACGTTATCGATAGAGAAAGATGAAGGGCTCTATACGTTTATTAAAGCGAATACTTTCCTTGCAGTATCTTGGTCTCAATTCGCTGTGGATGGTGGGGCATGCCTGAGGAAAGGGAGAGGGGCGGAACGGGCCTGCTGTTGCGCCAGATCGTTTCTTTCCATTTTTTTGGAGCGACGAGAATGTATCATATCGTATAAGCCATTTTCCATCAAACCCTCCAATAACGGGCGGAGAAAGAGCTGGCGGCGCGCCAAACACAGCCTGACTGACACGCCCTACCATCCGCACTGAACAAGACTGTATGCACCTTCGAAAGAGGATCGGTACTTTCATGTCGATAATGGAGTCGCTAAAGGACTCTCAGATAAAAAAAAAGAAAAAAAAATTATGGAGAACACTGTGAGTAGGGACCTGTCAGCTTCTCAGGACGAGTTTCCCAGATGTGCTCGTTTTATCCCAGCAAACGTGATAGTACGCCGCCTCTGGCTCACTCATCGTTTCGGCGCGTCATCCATTTCTTAGCTAATAGTGAGAAAAAAAACGATGAACGCGGGGTAAAAATTGAACTTGGGGCAGAAGTGCTCTTGAGTTTCGGCGGGTGGGACAACAAGGGAGGAGTCAGAATCGCCACATTAGAAGGCCGTAGCACCGGCGTTACTTATAATGAAGCCGCGAAAGCGTGACGATCTTGAAGACTGGGGGCCATACTACTTTTGCAAACAGGGACGCCAACGAACTTCCTGAGCCCAGGGGCTATCTTTAAGTGAGAATTGTGAATTTGCAGGTGAGGCAAAGGGAATTTTTGTAAGAAATAAGTTTCACAGGGCGCACTTGCTCCTTCTCTTCTTTGTTCACTTACGTACGCTGAGGCGGAACTGATTTTGAGTTTTTTTTATCCTTATAGAATGATGATGGCGCTAGAGACTGGTATAGAAAGCATCACACTTTTTGCCTTCACGGAGTTTGCCCATGCCAGAGTGTCGGGCCAGTTGAATAAGCGCGCGTGCAGCCATAAAACGTGCACAATGCTAGGTTGACATCACGACTGCACGACCACGAAAAGTTTAGAAGCACGAGGTAAAGCGACTCTTCGGCTGATACCGATGTTTTCAGAGGGGAGCAGTGGGACAAAGATAACTCTTATGACTGGACGTGGTGAGTACAAACTAGTTGCTTGGTAATCTGACCTCAGGTGTGTCTACATTCTTGATTGCATCGAGTTTCAAGCAAATTTGAAGATTGGTCTTTCACCCGACGTTCACGAAGCGCAACATCTTGTGCCTGCCTCCACTACTTCCTCCAATTGTTGTCGTTTGCCCCCTTTGAAAATTCGTGGGGAACAGTCCTGGCGCCGCGCCAAATCCAGCACATTGAAAAACCCTAGAATCCGTAGCGAACAGGACTATGGAAGGGTTTTGAACCTATTAAGACCCTAGAGGGCTCTTTGCACCTGTGGTGATATGCAAAGTAATGGAGCGGGTTCAGGAGGCTTGGAATGAACTCAACCGCAGGGGCGTACCCAATCAATAGTTATCGATTCAGATTGGTACTCGAAGAAACGCAGCCGCCAATTAGGCGCATTTCATGCCTCCCTGGCACGCCCCATCGCTTCGCCTGTTACGCACTGCACACGAAGTGTGTCATCTTTGAATATATCGTTGCATAGTATATTTGCGGACTACAAGCAGCAGACAATGAGAAATCTGTGCGACAACTGCAGAAAGATGGAGTTCATTTTATTTGTGTTCTGAATGAAGTGTGTTTTCGCGGTCAACTAGCCTTCTTGGGGGCGGGGCTATCCACTTGGCTCTTGTTCCGCCGAATAACTGCATTTTTCCCTCTTTATTAAAGATTGCTTACGAGAGAAATAAAGCTCTCCCTACAGAATGTCTAGGCACCTCTTGTGGCGAAGATGCCACGAACTGTAAACCTGAAAGTAGGTACAACGCAAGTATCCTGTTTTTGAAACAAATAATCCAAGAATCACAAAAGTTCCTAATGTGCAATAACTTTTACTCTCATAAACTCTCCCGAATGTGCCCAAATACTTAATAGTTACACTAAAAAAATCCATTATTACTTTGTGATACCTAGGTCCCGTACAGATTGCCTAGTGCGGTGTTTTTCGCGACAAAGGAGCCTTATGTGACATGTGTTGCTTAATCTGTTCATTCTATTTTTCTTTCCAGTTCCGCATGAGCAGTCAACTTAATGTGATATTTATACTAATTGCTGCTTTATTATTCGTACGAGTAAATGGCCGTACTCTTACTGAGGAAGAGTGGGAACTACTGCAAAGTAAGCGCATGTCTACTAGTTGCATCAAAGTGCTTTTAATTTTCGATTTGCTCTGTTTCAGCTACATATGTTTTGCCAAATAGCGCTATATTACTGCACGCTCTTGTGTTCTTAGCCATTGTTCTACTGCTACTTTATCCACCTGATGCTTTCGTGGGTGAGTTTCTTTTTCCTCGAAACCGTGCCCGGACCCTTTTTCATAACCTGGTCTGTTGTACTGACTGACCTTTGGAAGTTCCTTTATCGCTTGTTAAGACCTTTCATGAATAAGCTGAATAAGTTTCCTCATCCAGCTCAACAGGACGTCTGATACGACATTATATGCAAGCTAAGGATTGCCTAGTTCGGATTGTTAAGGCTGTGTTCATACTTTTTAGAGCGCCTTGGGCGAGGGGGAAGGTATAAGTAGTTCTATAAGTATTTAGCGTTCTGGCGTTTTGGCGTGCGTTGCACTCAAAATACTCAAAACACTAGGGCGACACCTATACTTCCCTTTTTGTATAACACTCTCAAAACGCCGACGAAAATTATGAGCACAGCCTATGACGGCGTCCATACCTTGCGTCAGGTTTTGAGCGTAAAGCAGCGTTCTGAGCGCCTAGGAAAGTATAGGTATCGATCTAGTGTGCACCAGCGTACGGCAGCGTTTTAGGCGATTAGGAGAGTATAGATATCGATTTAGCGTGTTGAGCGTTTTCGCGGGCAGTTTTAGGGCTTTGGCGGGCAGTCGCTGAAAACGTAAGATCGATATGCATATTTTCCTAGTCGCTCAAAACATGCGGTGCGCTGGTGTACGCCAGGGCGATATCTATGTATGCTTTCCCAATCGCTCGAACGCTGAAAACGCTGGCTCACGCTCAAACGCTAGGTTTATACTTACAGTTTCCTCCCCAAACGCTAGAAACGAGCGGTCCGCCTAAAACGCTCGATCGATGCCTATACTTTTCTATCGCTCAAAACGCCGACGAGAAGTATGAATGCGGCCTGGAGGTGTTTTGAGCCGTCTTGGGAATCGTTGCTTCTTTGCGATACATGCATTTTTGATTAGTAGGCTTCAATATTTTCCAGTGGGACAAAGTAGGGCCATTGTCCTATGATAGCCCTCTACAATATGTATGAATTATTATGAATATAGTTATTCATTATGGTATTCATCTTTTCGATTGGTTAATTTCTAGGTGCTGGTTTCACTTTCGACAATCTTGCCTATGCATATCTTGGATCACCGGAGTTCAACTATATTGAATTTCACTGTAGACGTTTCGTTCTCATTAGGGCCTTTATTGCTTGTCTTCCATACTGTAAGTACTTTGTATTACATTTAATTTCCTTTACCTCTCAACTGCTGTTGACATATTAGTGATGCTTTATTTTCAGTACTGATATTGAGCTTGTACTTCACAAAGGATCATGCTGTTTTGTTTACTGCTCATCCGACAAGAGTGATACACTACATTGCTATGATTTCTCCTGTTTTAGCAATAGGTGAGTTCTGATCAACGGTTTTTAGCGTAGTTCGGCCAGGGGATGGGATGAGTTTTGCACTTTCGCTACTTCCCATCTACTTTATAAGAGTTGGCAGGTAGTTACTACAAACTTCGACTGCTATCACTTCATGGCTTCACTAGATTTACCTCCACTTGATGGCACGAACCGACAATGTTGAGCAGCGAGAGTGAAAAATTTCCCCGTGCCGTGCCGAACCGCGCCATTTTTTTTGTTCGGCCATTGTTCAAAGAACTTCCTCAGTCACCGCTTTGACGCCTTTCACATCGTAGCGCCATAGGTGGAGCCACCACTTAGTTCTTGCTCAGATTTGAAACCTCTTAATGACACATTCTGATAAGGTGGAGGCATTCATGAATCACCAACTCCTGCGCATACGTTGTGATTTAACGCGCCAAACTCTTTTTCTCGTTTGCATGAGTGGAGGGACTGTAACAAGGACTTGTGTGCGTAAGAAATCTGAAATTGAACACGGCGTCATTTTCGGGTGTAGCGTTACTTTCAAGTTGCAGCACGGTGTGTAGTAGAGAGTATTCCTTAGCTTACAGTGAGTTGACTTGATGACGCGGAGAGAGTGAGCGCGCCCCAGCACTGCTACATTAAGTGGATTGGGTCCCG